AAAATAATTTAGAGAGAATTTTTCTTGAGGTGGGAGGTCACGGATTCCTCCAGCAATTTGATCTTCCAGGAAATCCTTCAGGTGCACACCGCTCAGTTCTCCCTGGTAACGTACACACAGTTGGGACCCACCTGTCCGAGGGCACATCCTCGGATGTAGAGCCAGGCTTGACAGCCATCCCTGGGGTGGATTTCCAGCTGAAATGTTCAGTTGCTCTTTTTGAAGAGACGAACTGTAACTACTAAAATAACTGCAATAACTGCCCCAGTGATAACTGGAATAGCAAGCGGAGTCGTCCCCCTGTCATGTCTCGAAGCTGAAAAATGAGATCTCGGAAGATTTAAGCAAATGCGTGGAAAACTTATTGCAAGCAGATTCAGACTGCCGGCACCGGGAGGGGCCCAATAAAGGGTTTCCAGTGAAGCTAATTGGTAGGAGTATATATGTGCTACAAGCCTGTGTCACCACCTGATTGATTCCCTCAAGCATTCTTGCCCAGCAAGGGACCTGAAATTTCCCTGTTTCTATGTGTCAGTTCACCCTCAGTTCACTTCGTTGTTGCAGTCCCTCCCTAGTTTCACATGCCTCTGGCTCTGAGTCTAAAAACAGTCTGTTATTCCTGCATGGTTGGTTTCTGTGATTAGGCTGCTCAAACTGCCTGTCTGCCTCCGCCTGTTCCACCTGCCTTTGTTTTCCACTGGACCCCTGCCCTGCCTGCCTGTGTGTCAAGCTAACTCCTCTCACCTGGCTATGGGTCCCCAAAGGACGGCATTGTCATGCATGGGGGATAGTCACAGGTGTTAAGTGGTAGATTTATTTATTTATTTATTTTTAAATATATTTTATTGATTTTTTACAGAGAGGAAGGGAGAGGGATAGAGAGTTAGAAACATCGATGAGAGAGAAACATCGATCAGCTGCCTCCTGCACACCCCCTACTGGGGATGTGTCCGCAACCCAGGTACATGCCCTTGACTGGAATTGAACCTGGGACCCTTCAGTCCGCAGGCCGACGCTCCATCCACTGAGCCAAACCGGTCAGGGCTTAAGTGGTAGATTTAACCAATGAATTCAGTTTTGTGTCTCAGAAAAGAATTTGCTTCATTCTGAACTAACCTGGAGGCAGTGATGGAGGTGATACCCAGAGACTCAATAAGTCTTAAGATTCTGAAGAAATTATTTACTTAGCATAGATGTGACAAGGAAAATTCCTCAAAAAGGAAAATATCAACTTTAGAAGTGAGCATAGGGCTGCTAAGTTTGCCTGCCATTTTCTTGAACCTACAACATAAGTCCTGTAGTTTGGGGAGATGGTACCTAGCTCCCAGGGTTGTAGTAATGATAAATGGGACACCCCAGAAAAAAACAGTGTTTCACCATGCACACCGTCCCCCCACCCCACCCGCAGCCCAACCCCCAATTAGGTCTGCCGAGAGCCTGCTCAAAGCCTGCCCAAGGGGCTCTGAGAACCTGTCTCAGCTGGTTTTTCACAAAATAGGGCCTCAATAAATATATATCAGATGAATGAATGGCTGCTTGCATTTCTCCTTTTGTGTACTTATTAGGTGCAACAATGAAACCCAGGCCCCTGAATTCTGCCAGTTCCATTACCGTGTGGATGTAGGGTGAGTGGAAGGGAGAGGGCGGTCAAGAATGAGTAAAGGGCGACAGCGCAGCCTACGCACCCGGAGAGAAAAGAAATCCTTGGAGGCTTGGGGGCAACAAAGAGCCAGAGCAGACGAATCCAGACACGAGGGCCCCGGGCCTCGCGTGCGCAGCCAGGA